TGACTGGCATTGGTGGATTGGTGTACATTCACATAACAAAAGCACTCTGTTCACTGGGAGGAGTGATTGTTGAGCTTTCTTTGTGTAAATCACTGCTCTGGATGTCATAGCAGGGCATTATATTTTGGTTATTTTATGGCTGTCATATACAGCCTCTATGAAATGCTTCAGAATAAACCACTGAGGGCTCTGGAAAAGGAGGTCATTGTTAAGTAGCAGTTAGCTATGCTCAGCTTCTCCATGCTTTGTGTCACTGAGATGTTTGTCTTGTGGTAGTATCTGAATGGACAAGTGTTTCAGTCATCCTGAGCATGTATAAAATCTTAGAAAAATTTGTTTTCGCAGGCACCAGCATGGGGAACAGGAATTCATTAATTGATGGAAAAGGCTGGAGCTGCGGTTCTTGCAAAGGAATTAAATAATTAGTTTCTTTATAGGAGTAAGACAAAGAGAAAACAAAAGTCATCCTTCTCCCTGGAATTGCTCCTAAATAATAGGTAGGAAAGGGGCCATTTAAGAACAGGACAGTCTCTAAATAAATAGGGCATAGGGAGAGACATTGGTGGGCTTTAGGGAGAATATAGCATTGTATATGTGGGGGAACATGTATGGAGAAATTGTGCCTTGAACTTTTCCTTTATGGAGAGGCACTATTTGTACATAAAGATATGTGTGTGAACCTCACAATTGTAAAAAAGGTAGTACCGCACTTCGACTATTATCTTCTTGATCTTGATCCTTTATATATTGTAATTAAACCATGAAAACCTGTAGTTGTATCTACCTTAGGACACAAGGTTGGTGCTGCTTTCTTTTACACTCCTTATTTTTCACTTAAACTAGTGAGCAGAAAAGTCAGGTTGAACAGAGGATAAATATTAAGATTATACTACATTCTTTCCATATTTAATATTTCTGAGTGGTATTGCAGTTTCTTGAAGTAATTGTATATTGCAAAGAAATAGCTGTTATAAATTATTCAGGTGTCAGTACATTCTTGCTAGAGTCTATTTCATTACATTTGTAACACAACATTCTAGATTCCTACCTTATTTTCTTCTTCTTTCCTAACTTAACCTCACACTCTTCTCTTTACTAACGATTGTTGGGTCCCTCAGGAGAGCTGGCCTTCCTGTATGTTTCCTCTCTTGCATTGTTCTGTCCTGCCCTTTGTTCTTCCTGTCCCCCCCCGCCGATTCCTCATTTCCTCTCCAGTGCCTCTGTTCCTTCTGATTTATTTATTCGTTTATTTGATTTTTATGTTGCACCATCTAGCATCTATGCCACTACTTTGGGCAGTTTCCAGCGAGAACATAATCATACATATAAAATAACAACTCTCTCCTACCACACCATAGTAATATAAATGAAAGATTCATAGAAATACAAGATGGTGGCCATGGGCAATAATAATA